AAACAAAAAATTTAAGTGAATTGGTTTCTGGGAACTCACCAAGGCTAGGACGTGCCTTCAGGTTCAGAAAGTACTCACAAAGATACCTACAGATTGCCCACCAACAAAGTCTTCACATCGGCAGTAGGATTCAAAATCACAATCGTATGAGTTATGAGCTGATTTCTTAACAACTGGACTAACTCTTGTTGGTCACTGTTCGGTCTCTCTCTGTGTTTTTTTTTGTTGCCCACCCAGTTCATCGGAGCTTTGCTTCGACTACATTTGTATCCAACTCGCGTCACGCACCTGACTGTGGTGGGTGGTCTCCCAACAGGGATTTCTGCATACCCTGAGGCTCGAACTCGAGACCTCGCTTAAGCGGTACTAAGCCGATTACCACTTGGACCAACCCCTTGTTGGTCACTGCCTCACTGGTTGGTCTCTTGTTTAATGAGGATTGTGGCTGGACAAGTTAGTAGAACGAGGCCCAGATTTTTTGCATTGGGGTTGGGCCAGGGCAATGACAATTGGGCCCAATTAAAAGCGCATGCATGTGTTGTATATGGACTAACGTTTAGACATCGGTTAGCCCAAATAGATAACACTTCGTTAGCCCAAATGGAAGAGGAAGAGGAGTTAAAAGCCCACTTATATCCTAATAGGAATAAAAGAAAAGGGGGATAAATTTTGCTCTTGCCGTAACCAAAAAAGAGTTTTTGTTTTGGGCTCTTGCCTTCCATGAATTTCCATTTTTGCCCTTCCTTAACCCAAGTGGTGCCACATCATCACCAATCACAAATCAAAAATATTAACAAAATAAATATATCATTTAGCTCATTTAATTCCTAAAATGCCCTTGTGAACAAATATGCACTAAGACGCCTAATCATGCCCAAATAAATCAATTTAAACTCACAAGAGGCTAAGATTAGCTACCAAAAAACACACACATGTATGGCTCTATTAGCAATCTAATCTTTTTCTTTTTTGTGCAATTTAACTTTCCTGATGTATAGTCTATTTTTGTGTGTGTAATCTATCTTCTCTTACGTTCTAATTATGCTTTGTGCAATTCATATTCCCTACGTGTAAATTAAATCATCTTCTTTTATGTGCAATTGTTCCTTTCCATGTGTAATCTTTCTCATTTATTAATTATTAATGGCATTTTTGTCATTTTTAATGTCTTTTTATTTCTTCTCAGCGACCAAAATGTTTCAGATAATTTCAGGAACTGTTCTCCAACTAAATTTTTAGTGTGATGGCCAATTTTCCCTATAAAATTCATATTTCATGCTCATATAAAATGAACAAAACCATGCACAAGCTATAAACATTATAATTCATTCTTTTCAGAATATTTTTGGGGGGGGGAGTTTATATTACATATAGATTTTTTAATATAGAGAAATTCATGGCAAGTGCACATGGGTAACTAATGGTTTTGTATTACTGGAAAAGTTTGTCTCCCCACCATCCATGACGAGATATAGATCAGGAAAAATGACCCAAAAAAAAAGTTAAAAATTACTAAATGCTAAATAAGGAATATAAATAAAAATTTGTTGATATTTACATATTTAGTATTGTTAACATTAAATAAAATATTGCTTTAGTACTTTTCAATTTCTATTTTTTAATATTTTTTCTATTGATAACTCAATCAAAATTCAAACATTGGTACCCTCAGAATAATAGTAGTAACAGTGCGGCCAACATTTATCATTTAATTTTTTCTGAACTACTATTGGCCAGGCCACCTTGCACTGGTCCAATTGGGCTAGGATGACTAATCATACTCCATAATTTGAAAAGTAAGGCCCATGTGCCCCCTACCTATATAACATATCGTGTAGCAGATACCATGTGCATTGTGACGACGAATAACCGTCCTATCTATAGCATCTCATATTTGGCGAGTTTGAATTTTATACTTGTCATTTTGTTCTTTGTTTTTTTTTTTTTGGCTAGTGTCTTTTATCGGTTATTCTTCTAGTTTTATTTATAAGGTAGAGGAAAAAATTATTTTTCTTTCTTCTATTTCTAATTCATATAATTAAATTTTAACATGAATATATAATTTTAATACTTATCAACACATAGATTACTTTTTTATTAAAAGTGTATATATTGACTAAAGTTGAAAATAGTTTAATTTTAAATTAAAATTAATGAGGTTTAATATTTTTTTTAGTCCTAATAAAATACTCTTGAAGTAACTTATAAATAAGACAAAGAAGTATATATTAAGCAAACCAATTTTCATTAAGAATAACATAATACTACTTTCGATTCTTAATATAAGACCTCTTTTGACTTTTTGTTTGGTCCTATTTATAAGACCCCAATCTATTTTCTCTCTCATATTTATGCATTTTTTTCAAGATAGTCCTTCTAATAATAATAATTCTAGCCAATACACTTAATTAGCAAGGATATTTTAGAAATGACAACACTTATTTATTACAAATAACTAACTTAACTTACTTTTTTAATCTCTTCAAATAAATCAACTGGGTCTTATAATTAGGATCGGAGGTAGTATTAGCAAGGAAACTAAGGTAAGAGACAAACCTTAACCTATTACTAAGAAATGTTAAAAAATGATGCGTGTGTGATAAAAATAACTAATTTAACTTATATTTTTAATTTTTTAAAATTATTTAATTAAATTTTATATTTAGAATTGGAAGTAGTATAAGGGTAAACAATTTGGTTAAACAAACCCATCAATTGGCAATTTTTAGTCAATTTTGTGTGCGTGTGTGGACGTTAACTGTTGACCCAACCACCCCACTAACATGCACATCATTTAGCACAATTGGCGTACAAGATTGAGTAGAATCAACGTCACTTTCATGCGCGTGGCAGACGTGGCTGGAGAGCACATCTCATGCTCGTTAAAAAATGTGCATGGAATGCTTTAATTTAAAACCATCTGCATTGATTTTGAATAAATCAGATTTAATTTAATTATTTTATGTTTTAAATAATTTTTTATTTAAATATATATATGGTGAATTCAAAACAGAGATGATTTTATGACTAACATTTTTTTTAAAAAAATTTTATTATTAAAAAATTTGTAGATTAAAAGCTTTAAATTTTAACAATTCAAATCATATTTTCAATGATCCAGATTTCATCACAATAATGTTAATAATTGAGGCAAGATTTAATTGTGTGGGGCCAAAATTAAAAAACATATATAATATAAATTTATATGAATATTTGGAAATGCATGCATAATAAAGAAAAATTTAAAATCTTATGGAGACATCGTCCTTACCGGTTCCTCTTCTTTCCGTACCTACATGTCTGTGCATCCCCCATCTCCTCTTTTCCCCCAGTTATCATACCCATGTGCTCTGAACTAGAATATATACACACACGCGCGCATCTTATTTATAAATTATTTTTAACATATATTATACAAATAAAATAAAATCTTAAATTTTATTAACTCTTATTTAAAATTTATTAACTTTTTAATTTTATTTCTATTTAATATATAATATAGTCCATGTAAATAAATTCAACACAATAATAAATAAATAGGTAAAATTATACATCCACATAAAACTTTTTTTTTAGTACCTTATAAATAAAACAAAAAAATATCTTCTTTCTCTGTTTTATAAATAAGACCAGAGGAGCATATATCAAAGGCCAAAATTTTAGTCTAGCTTTTGAAAATCATTATCCATTATTTTCACCAGATTGATTTTTTTAATTTGACGTGCTTCTTGCCCCCCATCAATAATTCATGGACATTCTAACTCTTTTGTCAATGTTAAAAATGATGCTCCCTCATGTTCTGTTCCCTCGTGTTCTATTTATAAAATTCTAAAATTTAAAACGATTTGGTCTTTTTTATAAAATCTTATTAAAGATTGTTTGAACATTAAATAGATTTTATCAATTTTTTTCTTAATTAATTTTTTTTATCTCTTTTCCGTTATCTTTTTCTCATATTATATTCTCTTTTATTTTTTATATCTCATTACTTGTATTTTTTTCTCTTATTTGCTTCCTCATTAAATAAGAGTATACTTAAAAAAAAAAAGAGGTGTAATTTTTATATATTTATTGCTTTTAACTAATTTTAACTATTTTCTCAAACCACGTAATTTAGTTAATAGGATATTATAAAAAAGATGGGAGGGACGGAGTAGTTAATTTATTAAACATGTTTTAAATGGAAATTTTTTTCGTTTTTATCAATATTAATTAAAGTTGCGAAGGACAGAAAAATATACAAAGAGTTATTCCTTATGGCTCAAAATCAAGTCATTGAAAAAACTTAATATATTTTTTTACAAACTTAATTTTGGATTTATCTAATCATTTAATGTTTTTTTTATTTGATTAATTATATGTTTCTCTCAATTTTTTTAATTTTTTCTCATCTCTTTTTTTCACTCATTCTCTTTCACTTACCCCCTTCATAAATAAAAGGTAGTTTAAAAAATAAATTACATTTTTTACATATTTATTATCTTTAACTAATTTTAACTAATTTTTTTGAATTGCGTAATTTAGTTATTTAATACTACCTCTGGTCCTTAATATAAAACCTCGTTTGATTTTTATTTTGATTCTAAATATAAGACCCTAATCCACCTTGTCTCTCATACTTATTCATTTTTTTCTTAAAATAGTCCTTCTAATAATGGTAGTTCTAGCCAATAAACTTGATTAACAAGGATATTTTAGGAAAAAAACACATATTTATTATAAATAACTAACTTAATTTGTTTTCTTAATCTATTCAAATTAGTCAACGAGCTCTTATATTTAAAATTGGAGGTACTATTTATATTATGAACCGCAAGGAACACATCTACATATTAATTATATGCATAAAATTGACAAATAAACATTATTTACTCTTTCAATAATGACTTATATTTTGCACAGGAGATGGTAGTATACAGAGCTCCGTATCCTGCCTATTCTGAGGAATGCACATCAGTACCGCCCTGCATAGCAAAACGAGAGAGAGAGAGAGAGAGAGAGTATGGAGGAAGGAAGGCAGAAGAATGGAAAGTTGGTGTGCGTCACTGGTGCTTCCGGCTTCCTGGCTTCTTGGCTCGTCAAGCTCCTTCTTCTTCGTGGTTACACTGTCAAGGCCACTGTTCGTGACCCTAGTGCGTTCCCCTCCTCAATATCATCTCCCCTATTTTTGGTCCGAAACATCGGGCTGCCATTTTCATACTGCTTTGCCTTGTTCATCACCACTGTCATTTTCTCGTGAAGCAATGCTCCCACCCCCAAGGGGTGTCCATCGCTATAAATATATATATATATATTGTTTTTTCCTATGTGCTGTTCACAGAAGTTCCATTTTATGTGACCACAGATGATTCAAGAAAGGTATCTCACTTGGTTGAAATGGAAGGAGCAAAGGAGAGATTGCATCTAATGAAAGCAAATCTGATGGAGGAAGGGTCCTTTGACTCTGCTGTTGAAGGCTGTGAGGGTGTCTTTCATACTGCCTCTCCTGTTTCCGTTGATGTCAAAGACCCTCAGGTTCTTATCATTCTATACAATCTTTTAAACAATACATCCAACAACGAAGTGCCAAATCCCTTTTGAGTGTAGTTCAGGGTTAAATTAATGCTTTGATATATTTCTACAGTCTATTCAGATGGTAATAGTTTCAATTGTTAACAATAACAAGTGCTAAATCCTTTCTGTTTGAGAGTAGAGTTCAAGGTTAAATGCTTTGAAAATATATACTACCTCCTGTGCTTAATATTAGAGCTCGTTTGACTTTTATTTTGATAATAAATATAAGACCCTAATTCACTTTGTCTCTCATATTTATCTATTTTTTTAAAGGTAGTTTTAATAATAATGATAGTTCTAACTAATACAATTGATTAGCAAAGATATTTTAGGAAAGATAATATTTATTTATTATAATAACTAATGAAATTAGTTTTCTTAATCTACTCAAATTAGTCAACGAACTCTTACATTAAGGACCGGAAGTAGTATATATTTCGGCAATCTATACAGAAATTAACATTGGTATCAAAAAGTTTCGACTACTAAGATTCTTCACTGTTGATCTTTGTCATAATCATGTAAACTACTTGGTAATTTGTTCATTTCAGACTGAACTCATAGAGCCAGCAGTGAAGGGAACTCTCAATGTTCTAAAGTCATGTGCAAAATCGACATCATTGAAACGAGTTGTTATGACTTCTTCCTTGGCTACAATATTATTTAATGGAAAGCCTAAGACTCCTCAAACTGTTGTTGATGAAACCTGGTTTTCAGATCCAGAATTTTGTGATGAGTATGAGGTAGGCATACAAAATACAGAATTGCATCGTTTTACGACAACAAAATATTATAATGTCTCTCATTTTATCTATAAACTGATAATCAAGGGAAAAATGATAGTTCGATACTTCTATCACCTCATTTGTCAAGATTCAGTTTGGATGCTCATCACCAAATCTGAACTATCTAAAAAATTGAATAGTTCATACTCAATATGATTGTCTTTTTATATTTTTAATAGTTTAATAATTTAATATGTAAATAATCTAAAATAAAGATCATGTCTTGTCAGTTATAATTTTTCTACTGAAAAACTATCAGTTTAAAAAAAATTTAAATATGCACCATTAAAATTATAAATTTGAACAGTTTCGATCTCATTCCAGTAATAAATACCGTAATACTCATTATTAATGAGTACTAAAACTGATTTCTATGTGCAGCATGCACTAAACATTTTCTACTCAGCAATTATGTGAATGTATCTCTTTCATCAACCTCAAATTTATGCAAATATACAATACTTGCGTGAATCTTATCTTCAAAAGTCATCTTAAGAAAAAGGTAATCTTTTTCAGTTTTCCTTTTTGCCAACATAAAAAGGGTCGTCTCAATAATGTCAAGCACGAGAAAGGGAGAGGTGAGAGCCACATACACATATGAGGAAAAAGTGGGTCCCCACATCCTCTTTTATTTTCTTTTCTCATTTCAAACGACCTATTCTAAGTGATGTGTACTTGTGTTTGGGATGCATATGATGGAAGGAAAAATAACATTTAGGTCTCAAAATTTCAGTTTAGTTATAGTAATATGTTCTTAAGAATTTTATTAATAATAAGTTGCAAATACTGATTTAAACAGGTACAAATATACTAATATTAGTTTCAAATCATTGGACATGGTTTATGAAACTTAAAAACTCGAACTAAAATTGATATTCCTCTATTTGTAACTATTCAAATCAATAATTATAGCTAATTTTTTCGCAAAGTTTTATGGGGCCTAACTATTTGGAGCATCCTTCTAGTTTCATGCTCATCTATATTCTTATTCTTTCAGCACTGGTCCGGCTATATACTTTCCAAGACTTTGGCTGAAGAAGCTGCTTGGAAATTTGTGAAAGAAAACAACATTGATATGGTTACTATTAATCCAGGAACAGTGATAGGACCTCTCTTGCAACCAACACTTAACACAAGTTCAACTACAGTTGCAATTATATTCAATGGTAATTTTAATTTATTTTGCTTTAATTTGATCTGATACACATTTTCAAATGTTGAAATATAAAACTAAACTTGAGGGAGGGTATTGGAATGATTATTATTGTCTATTTAGAAAATGTCAATGTCATGAATATTCAGGCGAAAACATTTGTCTATTTATTTCTTCTCATCGGGACTCTTTTTCCTCTGTTCCTTTGTTGTTTGATGCAGGGGCAAAAACTTTTCCAAATTTCTCTTTAACTTTGATTCATGTAAAAGATACTATAAATGCTCATATTCAGGCATTTGAAATTCCTTCGGCTGGTGGAAGATATTGTTTGGTTGAGTCAGTGAAACACTACTCAGAAATTGTGAAGGTTTTGAGTCATATGTACCCAACAGTACAATTTCCAGATAAGTAAGTTCATTTGTCTTTTATAATTTTAATTAATAATCCATATATTTTGGCTTTTGTTTTCGCCCTAAACATTTTTGACATTATCTCTTTCCTTTTGAATTTGAAAAAAATTAATCGTGTGTCATTTTTATGCTTTAATTATTGTGGTATATTATGTTCTAGGATTAAATTATGTGTTGGTTATGTGTGTGTGTGTGTTAAAGCATGTACTGCATTAAAATACTGCAGATGTTTCATTTTACATCAGCCTAAATAAATTTATTAGTGAATATTAAAGCATAGCATGACTGATCAATCATCTACTATTTATTGATGATAATTTTTAAATTTTAAAAGTATTAACTAATTTAATTGATATTTTTAATCTATATGAAATTAAAATATATTCTTATAAGAAAAAATTGGTGTTCAATGATATGGTAAGAGTCAAATATTTTCCTTATTCAATTTTATATTAAAGTATATTTTCTACTCTATCATGGAGGATCTAATATATTTCTTCCGATTTGAAATTTGGCCATATTTTCTCAGATGTGCAGATGATAAACCCTTCATGCCAATCTTCCAAGTTTCCAAAGAAAAGGCAAAGACTTTGGGAATTGACTTTATTCCATTTGAAGTGGGTCTTAGAGAGATAGTGGAAAGCTTCAAAGAAAAGAGATTTGTTAACTTCTAAATTGTATGCAGGATGGAAACTAGAGATGGAGCAAGCTGCAATTAAAGTATAAGGCATTTAATTAGGAAAGAAATGCACTTGGAACATAATGTCACTCAGGGACCTATTGAGGGAATTAATGACGAAGTACCTTTAATTAAGTGATAATATGATAATAAGGAGTAATGCTTATTTCTAAGCTATAATTTCCTCTACACCTCTCTTTATGATTTGTGATCAAGTTTAATTTGTTCTCGAATCTTGTAGTTTTTTTCCCCATAAATAGAACCTTACAATTTCAATAGGTTTTGGCACGTTAGTTCCTATCTAAGTATCATATCATCCCAATCACACTAGCGCAATGGTGAGACCAATTACAATTTAGTTAAAAACATGATATATAGGTACATAGATGTATCACACTAATAAAAGCGAGTAGCTCATATCAACTAGTCAAACTAGTGAATCAGCTTCCTAACTGATCTGGTCAAAAGTTTTATAAGAGTTAGTTGGCTCTGTGTGTGTCTCTCTCTCTAGATATATTTGATTGAGCTTAAACAACATCATTTTTTAGCTTAAAACTTAAGGGGGCAAAAACAAATATCCATCCGATTTGTGCTTTAATAACTCTATTTTATTGGATTATATGTAATTTATGCATAAATATTTTCATTACTTATGGATTAATATTTTTTGTTTAATATTATTTTAATGTCTCGATTGATTAATTCAAGGTTCAGGTCTTTATAAAAATAATTAACATACATTACCTCACAAAGAAACCAGAAAGGGATATTTAATATTGAAGGTGGGATAAAAATTATATATTGGTGTTAAGAAAAGAGAGAAATATAAGAAAAGTACAAACCACAAAAGAACATTAGAATAAAGGAGATTCGATAAAGAAGATAATAGATACAATTGATTAGAAAAGAGAATGACATTTGTTCAGTGTGTCAAGTTAATGTCCCTTAAACTCTATTTACAGGCTTCCAACCATACACAAAAGCTACATTAATGAAATAAATAACAAGATTAACCCATTCTATAAATTTACAATATATGTAACTTTTACGTTCATCATGGCGCGTAATTTTTGAGTTATATAGGTAACATTTATTAGAAAATAGAAATGTCACGAGGTGTACATAGCAGATGAAAAGTCAAGATTGTGGGTAATTTATAGTATTAAATACTTCAGTCTTTTTCTAAATTGTGACTTAATGATGAGAACAGAGAAGATTATGATTACTTTCCTACCGTCCGCCCGTGACTTAATGGAATTAAAATGACCCCACCATGATTAGATTAACATATCATCATATCACTTGGTCAAAAAAAAACATATCATCATATCAAACCAGGATCACCATTCACCTTTCCCTTTGGAGAAAAAGAAAGAGAGAAAGCTCAGAACAATGGAAAGCAACACAGGAAATGGAAAACTTGTGTGCGTCACTGGTGCTTCTGGCTTTTTGGCTTCATGGCTCGTCAAGTTCCTTCTTCTTCGTGGTTATAGCGTCAAGGGAACTGTTCGTGACCCAAGTCAGTTCTTCTCCTTCACACTGTTTTATTTTGTTGGTCTGATTCTGAAACATCGTACTGCAAATTAATTAAAAACAATCACAGATATTACTGCTCTCTAAATATTAGCCCTTCGATTGATCTAAATATCACTATATAAAGGACCATCATTGTTGTTCAATCTGTTTTTGTTCTTCTAAACTCTGACAAAGACATACACAATTAATAAGAAGACTTTTCCCAAGAATAAACTCTTAAAATCAGGGGTTCGCTGTAAGGAAGCTTGTCTAAACCAGGAAATCAAAGGGTGATGAGATTGATTGATTGGTTGCTGGAATAGGTGAAAGAAACATCTGAGGGAGGAGATTTTCAGGTCCAAAAAAGAGAGGAGACTTTGACCTGAGTGACGTGGCATAATAATGATAGTTAGATCAATCTAAGGGCTAAAATCTGAAGAGCAGCATCTCTCTGCCCTTGCTGTTGTTTGGCCTCTTTCCTGATATCTGTCTCCTGTCCTTCTCAGTCATCCATCAATTAAAAACAGCTTTTAAATTTCGAGTTATATCACCTATAGTGATATATAATGAAGTTAATTCTTTGCAGCTGTAGTTGTCATTTTAACATGAAGCAATTCTATTTTGCTGTTTCCAAGAATCATTTTGTGGTGGTTTAACTAGTAACTCTCCATACAGATGATTCCAAAAAGGTTTCTCACTTGCTTGAACTAGAAGGAGCAAAGGAGAGATTGCATCTGATGAAAGCAAATCTGTTGGAAGAAGGTTCCTTTGACTCTGCTGTCGAAGGCTGTGAGGGTGTCTTTCATACTGCTTCTCCTGTTAATTTTGCTGTCGACATCGACCCTCAGGTTCATATACACCATTTTTTTGGATTTTGGGCTTGGATCTTCCCTTATAGGTTGGACTATTTGACTAGATATTAGGAGAATATTCCAATCAGATATCCAAGTAAAATTATGATATTTTGTCTCGATCAAATATCTTGAATCAAATCCAATCAGTCACGATATAGGTTAAATTAATTTATATTATATAAATTAAATATATATTAGATATATATATTTTTAGAATTAATTAAGGTTGATTATGGATTTAAATTCAAATTCATAATTTTATCAGTTAAGAGATATTTCAATATTCGAACTGATGGACTTAGTGGATAATTTTTCCTTCCCAAAATACCTTGGCCAAAACTATAAATAGAGGCTTCCACCTATCCGTTCAACTCACCCCAATAGTTGAATTTTCCTACTCTCTCCTCTCTCCCCCAACATTCTCTCTTGTGTGATCCTCTGCTATGTCACTCAAGTTTAGGTTCCAGTAGTCTAAACTCTGCGTGAGTATCTGTAGATCAACTCATAGAGCCCTAGAGGAATAATCTGGATTTGAACATGGATCTAACCTGATATGCATTTTATTTTTGTTTATACTTAATATTTCTGATATTGGCATAAGAGCCATGTTGATCTTGAGGTTGTGTTTTTTTTTTTAAAAGTTTTTTTAAGAAAGAAAGGGGAAGATGATATTTTGAATCTTCATTTCTCTGCACTTTCTTTTTTCTCTTCCTTATGTTGAATCCTTATATATATGTGGTGTTATATATACGTGGTATTGACGTTTGCTTTGCTTGTGTGCTAAGTTCTGGGTGTGCTGTAAATAAATATATTTGCTGATCAATATGTTTTATGGATATAGTTTAAAAATGAGTCTTTGAACCTATTTAAACATATAAGAATGCAATTTTAATCCTATTGAAGCTAAAGAACTCAGAAAACACAAGTTAAACTTGACCAAATACTATACGTAATCATAAAGCCATCACTCAAATTTGGGTCACCCAAAAATGAGAGTTTTGCACGCAACAAAGATAGGAACTTGTAGAGCTCATCAAGACGATTTCAAACGACACCTAGATATCATCAAACGGAGTCCAAACGAATGTGATATGAATGAGAGAAGTTTGTGGGTTGTTTTACCATCGCCACTAATGGAGCTCAAAACTGAGTTAAAAAAGGAACTTTTTGGGATCACAAAGGGCACAAACGTGTAGTGTTCGAAAAGACAATTCCAACAATACCAAGAACATGAAAAACAGAGCTTAAATGATGGAGATATGACCGTTTGAAGTTTGCGGGTCAAACGGACCCACCAAAGCTCCAGTCAGGTTGGCCCAACCTGGCTAGAGGTTGAAGATAATGACATCATCGTGACACCTTTAACCAGTCTTAAAAAAAAAAAATTCTTCTCACTCTCTTTAATGGTAAATGGGGTCTACTTCTAGGTCCAATGGTCAAAATAAAATTTTTTGTTCATTTTTCTTGAATTCTTGTTTCCAAAACCTTCTAAAAAGTGCTTGTGTGTGCATGGGACATCCTCCAATTAAAATGTAGTTTGTCCCTAAAAATTCCTAAATTCAAGAGCTTCATTTTGATATGCAATTGGCCTATATTTAAAGTAAGTTTAGACTTATTCTAAAGTAGAATAAAGTCATTCTACACATAAAAAAAACACCTAAAATCTTCATAATTGATTTTAAATTCATAATTAGTTTTGGATAGCTCAAGAGAATTTTCTCAGATGAGATAAAAAGCTGACATTTATATTGAAAAGTTTTCCATAATTAAAAGTGACTTAGATGTGTCTATTTTCCATAAAATACACTTAGAACTTCAGGAGATAGGAAATAATAATTAACTTTGTAGTGATCTAAATAAGAAAAACTTATTAAGCAAAGTTAATAAATCCTCTCAAACAGTCAAACACATTGAAGAAATCGAGATTGAAATGAACATCACCTCTTTTCACAAGTGTTGTGATAAGGGGTGTAACTAGAAGAGGTGTAAGCAAAACATCTCAAAAGAAACCAGTGGGAGTTATGCTGTAGAACACATTTGATAAAGTAGATACTGTACTATGCCAACATGCTAGATAAGGCTGCAAGAGGGGTTGAATGCACAAGGTAATGTATGAAACATTGGCACGTGGGTTAATACGATGCAAGTAAGTCAATCTCACTCTTGATAAAGACAATGATAAGACATTGTTTTTATGTTTAAATGTTTTTTTGGTTGAATTTTGTGTTAAATTCCCACTCTAGAGTTGAATTAAACAAGTTTTATCTATGTTGATCATTCGTGCAATTACATAAAATACTAGGTTATTATTTTTCTTATAATTGCTTTGATTGAGTAGGAGTTTCTGGACTATGATATCTAGAAATTCAAGAAGGGGGATGTGTTTAAGTAAGATTATGGTTAAAAAGGTGATGAGCTAACTAGCATGAGTGGGATGGAAGCTGACATGTTGACTCCTGAACACAAAACTAGTGAATTTGTCATCTAATTAGTCTTTATCTTACTTGAACATATACAAATTGTATACCCTAATGCATAATTGTCTATGTGATCAAGTTATAACAACTAAGTCCCTTTGATTGAGCTTTGCTAATGATCAAGCTTAGTAAGAGATAATAGCAATTTGAGATACCACTAAATCTCTTTTATTCATGAAGAATAAGACATCATGGATGTCTTACCAACTATTATTCAATACTAGAAAGTTGAAACACTTTGAAGGATACAGGAAGCTCAAAGTTATCTGAAAGAGAAAAGAATAATATTGTTTGGATAATCATACTTAGTGCAAAGTATGATGGCATAACATCCCAATTTGAGCAATACAACATAGGCTATGAGGATAGCCTTAAGAGATGAAGTTGTTGACACTCTTGTCACAAAGTACTTAGTCAAATTTTAATGCTCATAAGACTAATGTATCCAATGAACACAATACATGAGGTAAAATGTCAAATAAGACTAGGAAAATAAGCCAAGTGAGATTATTTTTTCCAATAAACAACAAGTGCATGATGTTAAAAGGATTCTCCTATTGAGCGGGAGCATATAAATATAGATCTTACTTACAATAAAAGATTATGACCTTCAATGATGTGGTTTGCCACATTAAGCTTGAGATTAAAAAGTTAGAGGTTAGAAAATCCACTAGCCACACGTTCTTAATATAGAGGTAAAGGATTTGTCCTTTAAACCTAACTCTAATAAAGGCAATAAGCCTACAAAGAGATTACACCTAATAAAGGTCAAGTATAATTCTTGTTGAGAAATAATGCATCTTGACAAGAATCACTATGAGTAGCGAATATGCGCAGGATCTCCTTGTATGTGCATTTGGCACTATTTTGATAGCTAAATCTAATCCTTTATAGATTATAGACTTAAGGGCAATAGAAGAAGCAAAGCATCCACTGATTTTCATTAGATGTCATAAAAGGACAAATGACTCTTGACTAAAAATGGCACAGGAGTAGAAATCAAAGCGATTAGAACCTACATATTAACTTTGTAAAGAGAAACATCCTAGTACTATCTAATACATTCTATACTATACAATTGACGAAATCTTGTGTTTCTTACTTTTTTGGTTAAGAACTAATCAACAATGGGATAGACTTTTGAAAAATGATTTCAATAGTCTTGGAAGCAATAATTCTAATTTCTTGTCATGCTATACTAGACTAAAGTCATATTGATCAACAGAAAATGATCAACAAGTAAAAGAGGATTCGCTAAGTAATATATCCAAAGAGGAAACATGTCCCCATGTGAACATAGCCTAGTTAAATATTCAAAAAACCTTTTTGAAAAGTAACCAAGCTTAAACATCTTTTGTAATTGGTTCAATTTGGCATTCATAATAACATGAGTGTGAGGGAAAGACACAAAACGTGACATTACCTTTATCAACAATTTGTTGCACTGTGACCTTACACAAATATGAGGCTCTAGAGTGCTTCAAAAAGTGCCTTAACTTGCTTGAAAATCAGTTAAACCATAAGGTCAAAAGATATGAAATTTGACAAAGGTTGTGAAATATTAGTCTAATCAAATTTTAGACATTTTGTGAATAAAACAGATTGTCAAGCAATTAACAATCCAATAAATTCCAAAAGAGGAATGGAATTGCCAGAGGGAGAAAAAGAATTCTCCTTAATATGTTGGATCAATAATAACATAAGTATAACTACCAATCTTGAATTGGAGGAATAAGTTAATGACTATAGCTTTCATGACCAATCAAGTTCCCTCAGAATTTGTCACAACAATGTCCTTTTGAATTACGAAAATGCTATAAATAGAACTTTAAGTATCATAAGACCATGAGGATCAATAACATGCATCTATCCATGATTCTTTCTATAGTATAAAGAAGTGGAGTTAGAAGATAAAATAAAGTATCTTCATCAAATACTCCAAACATCCAACTAGGATATGTCTTCATTAGTGAAAATGATGACGTCTCAGTGACTAGGACAAACCCAAAGAGACATACATTCTTAGGAAACAAATTCTTTAGCAAAGAGAACTTCATTCACACTGAATCTCTTTAAGAGAATAATGGTAAAGAGGAGCCAGCAAGTATTCCTCAGGTCACTGATCTGAGTAGAAAGGGTTTAGCTATTTTCACAACAAGAAGAGACATGAGGCAAGTAATAAGAGCTAAAATGTTATAAAAAGATGCGAGGAACCACAATCATAGCAAGAAGATGCTAGAAGAACTCACCCAAACATAGGAAGAAAGTCCTATGCAATAAACCCCACTATGAAAAAGTAAAATGATCAAAACCCTTAAGAAAAGGGGTAGCTCTCATCATCAATCCAAAAGGTGACATCCAACATCTAGAAAATATCCAAAAGGGTCTCAGAGGACATGCTAAAGAAAAATGGTAGAAGGCCATGTAGGAGGAAATTGATTTTAATTGAGCAAGAAAATCATTTGATCAAACACCTAGCCAAAAGGTAATTTGAACAAATGTGTTTTTGAATAAAAAGTGATAGTATCAATTGATAATCTTAAGGTACACTTGTAACTGAAAGGTACACACAACAAGGTACAGATTGACAAAATACCTTCACCTATTATGTATTTTAACTCCATAAGGTTAGATTCGGCTAAGTATCCAAGTTTAGGTTTGAAATTACGTCAAGTGGATGTAAATACCACTTCTCTAAACGAGAACTAGATGTTGTACTCTATATGAAGTAACTCGATGGCTTCATTAAAAAGAGGAAAGGAGAAAAAGGATTCTCAAAGCAATAATCTATATGGTCGTACATGAGGTTTCACAGAACGATAACCTATATAACTTCAAAGTGATCGAAGAAAAGCCATAGCATGCACGTCAAGTAGTTTGGAATTTATTTTTATAACTTCATTGCCTTACTATAATGATATGCCTCTAGCCACAAGGAGCAAAAAATATTTTGAGAGAAAAGATAAGTACAGATTGCATGAGGGCACTACTATCTTTATCATATAAGACCTATACAAGTAGAACCCTTCAACGTCTTAACATAATATACTACAAATCCATGAATACCCTTAAAGTTAAAGAATATAACCAAAGTGAGGTTATCCATCCTACAAAGGAATTTGGTATGGAATGCAAGAAAGAGTCCTACACTCAAACTTAGTTGGTAACTCAATGTACACAACATTGTGTACTAATTGAAATACATGTTTTGAAACCAGACTTGTGAGTCAATGTTTAGTTCGACTTAGTAAACAAGTGCTGTGAAGTTGTGAAAAGGATATGAGATGTTTAGGAAGTATTATGGATTGTAAGTTATACATCAAAGTAACAACTTACTAATTGGGTTAAAGACCCATATATCTTCATCTTCCATGGAATTAGAACACATAATATGTTTTGCCACAACTAAAGAAGCTATATGGCTCAAAAGGTTCCTAGAGTGATTAGGAATTAATAGTGGATTAGAAGTTCATAGCCATGTATAGGTTATGCTAAGTATCCTCGTTAACACAAGCAGGACTAAATAAATAGACATAAATTATCTCTTGATGAGAGATAGGATTGCCAAAAGGCAAAGCCAGTTCAATACCATTTTACCCACAAGGAGTTGATAGATCCCATTACACAACCCATTGTTAAGGATTTGTTAGTAAATGATCAAAGACTTTGGGTATGAGTAGAATATAAGGTCTTGAACTTCTTTTATTGAGAAATAAAAAAAAAAGCATTACCATTATGTATGTCAAGTGTGAATACATACATGTGCAAGGTATACAATAACAAGTATGTCTTACGGCTTAAAATTGGCTTTCTCATACAAGTAATCGCCTTATGTGTTCATGAGGAACATAGAAGATGAGACACTGCATGATCACCATATTGCAAGAATAATGGCTGAGAAGTATCATAACATATTGTTACCTTAGATGAGGTTTGAGATGAGATACACAATGGACGAAATAATGGATCCACACAAAGATTAGATCGAGTCATGGATTTGTGTTGAAAAGTTCTGGTTCAGACACTGTGAGTATGTAGAACTTAAGTCTGTATGGTGTTTATAAATCAAAATCAACGTACACTCTTAACAAAGTTAAGACAAACAGTATAGCATGTAATTTATACGTGTGCTTATAAAAACCGCAACAAGGAATGGGAGTGGAAGATCCCTGTTCCATCATAGTGCGAGTCCTTAAAAGGAGAAAAATCCTTTCATAATGCTTTTAAGACTTAGACAGCATCATTATGGGCTGATTTGGTGACAGTACTTTAGCTTGCATCTTATGGTCATGAATGATTTGATCTAAAAGGTCAACACTAGGAAAGAGACTAGGTTAGACTCAATTGATGACCAGTCAGAAGGAAAGTTTATCCTTAAGTACACAACTGTGCTAGTTTCTGTGAGCGGTCCCTTACTGAGTTGTCTAAGCAACTTGTAAATGTGAATAGTAAGTGTATAGAGAGGCAATATGAGTTAATCAATAATTAACTCGAGAGGAATTAGATATGCCAAGAAAAATGTGTATGGATAAATCTAGGGCATTCAAGGCAATATGTAAACTTGGAGGTACATCTAGGATGTCTTTGTGTGTTGATTATGTATAAAAGATATCTAGTACACAAGCATCCAAAATTGAACACGTTGTACACAAGTAGTCACGGCAAACACCGAGTATGAAGCAAGAGAGATATGATAATTGCATGATGGCTAGCCTATCAAGTGTGAGTGGGAGATGTTGGATTTTTAGGCTTGGATCCACCCTTGATGGGCCAGACTATGTGACTAGATATTAAAAAAATATTCCAATCAAATATCTAAGCAAGATTATGATATTTTGACTCTGTCAAACATCTTGAATCAAATCTAATCAATTACAATATAAGTTAAATTAGTTTACATTGTACAAATTAAATATATATTAGAGATATATATATATTTAGACTTAATTAAGGTTGATTCTGGATTTAGATTCAAAGTCATAATCTTATCATGATCAGTTGACATATATTTAAATATTTGAATTCAAATTTGAATTGATGGACTTAGTGGCTATTTTTCCTTTTCAAAATACCTCTGGTCAAAGTTATAAATAGAGGCCTCCATCCATTAGTTCAACTCACCCTAATTGTTGAGTTTTCCTACTCTTTTCTCTCTCCCCCCAATATTCTCTCTTGTATGATGTTCTTCTATGCCACTCAAGTTTAGGCTCTAGTAGTCTAAACTCTGTGCAAGCATCAATAGATCAACTCATGGAGCCTCAGAGGAATAACCGGATCTAAAGATGGATCCAACCTAAGATGTATTTTATTTTTGTTTATATTTAATATTTCTGACACATTCTAAATGGTATCATTAACAATGTATTCAAAGAAGGTGGTAAATCTCAATTACGAGAGTAGTTAAAATGTTAAGTGCTCTCATATATTTGTGGATTCTATATAGAAATTATACTAATGCTACTTCAATCCTTAATATAAGAGCTAGCTTGACATTTAATTTAATCCTAAATGTAAGACCTCAATCCACTTTATCTCTCATATTTATTCTTTTTTTTAAGGTAATTTTATAGTACTTATACATGTTAAATATTTCATTTATTAGTACCCCTGGTTCTAAATATAAGAGTTCATTTGTAGAGTAAATTACACTACAGGCGAGGTTTTATATTTTGGATAGAAGATAGTAACATTCATTGGTGATAGTTGTCATGTAACCATATACTCCCTCTGGCTTAAAATATAAGCTAAACTTTATTCATTTATATTTATCAAGAAACTAGTTAAAATCAGTTTAAAATAATAAAAATGTAAGGAATGTATTTTTTTTTCCAAATATGCTTTTATTAATGAAGAGAATAAACAAAAGATGCAATAAATGAATCAAAGAGGAAAAAGAATATATAGAGATAAAATTGGAAAAAAAAACTCATTAAATGCTTAGACAAAAGTAAATGTTATCTTATAAAAAAAAATCCAGTCCTTCCAACAAAATTTAGCTTGTATTTTGAACCGGAGGGAGTATTACTTAGTATTTTGTTCCTTATGAATTATGATATATAGCAGGTGTAGTGTGTGGATCTTTATTAACAACTCCTCCATAGTTAATGTAAGAGATAGATATACATAACTTGCAGAGATTAGGAAAATTAATTATTTGTAAAAAAAATTGTTTTGGTTTTCCTAAAATACTATTTTTAATAATTTATACTCGAGATGGAAACCTTCTTAATATATGCATTCAATATGGATATAGTTTGAGAAAAATCTATAAATGTAGAAGAGAAAGTGAATTGAAATATTTGAGAACAAAATTCAACTCCCAATCTAGTTTAACCTCTATATTATAATAGGGACCCGAGAGAGCATTTTATATTGTGTACACTTTTTTTTATAGTTTATGATATTAATACACAATCTTTCTACAAAAATACGATCAGTTTGATAGCTAATAATTAATTAGTAGCTTCTAAAAGTTGCTTTCTTGATTTCAGACTGAACTCATTGAGCCAGCAGTTAAGGGGACTCTCAATGTTCTTAAATCATGTGTGAAATCACCGTCTGTGAAACGAGTTGTTTTAACTTCTTCCATGGCTACAGTTTTATATAATGGAAAGCCTAGGGCTCCTGAAGTTGTAGTTGATGAAACCTGGTTTTCAAATCCAGAATTTTGTAATGAGGTATGTATTCTACTATGGTTTTTTTTTTTTCAGCCAACGTATTCTACTATGTTGAGTTTAACTACATTGAACTTTAAGCTTGTAATTAATAATAGAGTAAAATACTTTGACTATTTTTCTAGTTTGCATCAATTATACAAACCTCTCCTTTATTTTGAAAACATACAATGGTTGAACTCTTAGTAATATTCTAAAAAGATTCTAAAATATTATTTTTAACTGAAATTTATATTAAAATAAATTTAGTTACTATTTTACCCCTCATTCTAATAAATTCCTAAACTATATTTTTACAGTTATATTAATTTCATTTAGTTAAGACAAATATAAAAGATCTGATTAAAAATTTACCTGATTTTTTAAATAAATATATATATTTGACTAAATATATTTAGAAATTGTAGAGATGTGTTTAAAAGTTTTGAATTATAAATTCAAATAATTTATAAAATCTTTCAAACCTATATCATCTAAACTTTATGATAAACAAAAACATTGTATTTGAAATATGTTCTTACAATTTAAAAGAAATCAAACTAATTAGTTTCTAATGAATGTGATAAAATATTAAAATTATAAAATTTTATGATTTAGATCAAAATTAATAGATTTTAAGACATATTAGAAATTTTAAAAATAATTATTTTTTTTGATTTTATAAAAATATTTTTGGAAAATATAAATGTCTAAATAATTATTAAATTAAAAAGGATTATTTTGGTCAAAAAATAATTTAGAGTCAAACTTAACTGTTAGCTAACGGTTTGGGTAGATGAAAATAAAATCTTAAATATAAAAAGGAGGTTTGTGTAACATATGTTTTAATTGTAAAGAATGTTTATATATGTTTTTAAAATAGAAAGGGGGTTTCTATAATTGAGATAAAATAGAAGGATAATTGGTATATTTTACTCTAAATAATATAATGAATGGTAAATATTTATAGGGTTGGGATATGCCAAGACTTCAATGCCCACTCTCAAAATCATATTTTGCATGAATCTCAAAAAAGAAATGCAAAAGTACATCGTTTGTTTAATTACAAAATACTATAATATTTCTTATTATATCTATAAGCTAATTAAAAAAAATGATGGGTCAATACTTCCATCATCTCATGAAATGGACCAAGCATTTTTTAGCGAGCAATTAGATATGCGAATGTATCTCTTTCAGCTTCCAATTCATGCAGATATACAATGCTAAGTGATGTGTATTTGTATTGGGATACATAGTAAGAAAAATGACACTTACATCTCAAAACTTCAATTTAGTTATAATTATGGTATAAAAAGACTTTGTATTAATATCTTGTCCATCCTTACAGTTTGACACAATAGTTTTAACCCATATAGTTTCAAGTTGTTGATTTTGGTCCCTATAATTTAATGAGAACTTGATCTGAGTTTAAATATAGAGACCACAATCAAAACTCCTTAAAAGTATTAGTACGATTCATTAAACTCAAACCAACAAAATTATGAAACTATAGGAAGCAAAACCTAGGATTTAAAACTACAGGAGCCAAAACTAAAATTTGATCAAACTATAAGGACTAATAATGATATTAACTCAATGCTACAAAATAAGTTGCAAATACCAACAGTTGAGAATATGATAACCTTAGTTTCATACCACTGGAAATGGCTTATGAAACTTAAATCCTTGAATTGCAACTAAGATGTCTATGTTTATAATGCTTTAAATTGTTATTTAATTAGAAACTCATCATTTTTTACCAAAATTTTATGAGGCCTAACAATGATTAGTAGATATTTTGGGGCCTAATAATTATCATTCATTCACGTAGGTAATATTCTGCAACACTCTTCATGTTTCATGTCTTCTTCTTATTCTTTCAGCAATGGTCTGGTTATTTAGTTTCCAAGGTTTTGGCGGAAGAAGCTGCTTGGAAATTTGTAAAAGAAAACAACATTGACATGGTTACTATCAATGCAGCAGTAGTGATCGGGCCTCTCTTACAACCAACACTTAATACAAGTTCAACTACTATTGTGGCTCTGTTAAATGGTAATTTTAATTCGTCTCCTTTGTCTACTTCGATGCACACTTCCAAAATGTTGAATATATATGTGACTATATTACACTAAAAAGGGTCGCCAGAAAAGCTTCTTCGAGAAGTCTACGGATCAGGATTAGTCGCTGCTCTAATTGCATGACTGAAATAATATTCAGTCATCATGAATTTATTAGATCAGTAACTAAATTATTATAGTCAAACGTTTTTTTCCTTCAATTTTTTTTAGGTCATTAAATTATTTCTTCAAATAATGATATTGCAAGTTTTTGTTTTAAGAAGCTGTGTTAATTATTTGGACCCTGGACAAGAATTATTGTGTTGCTTCTCATCTGTACTCTTTTATTGTTCCTTGTTTGATGCAGGGGCAAAAACATTTCCAAATCGTTCTTTATTATGGGTTCATGTAAAAGATACTGTGAATGCTCATATTCAAGCACTTGAGATTCCTTCGGCTAATGGAAGATATTGTTTGGTTGAGTCAGTGAAACATTACTCTGAAATTGTGAAGATTTTGCGTGATATGTACCCAACATTACAACTTCCAGATAGGTAAGCTGATCCATTGTCTTTTATAATCTCAATTAATAATTCATATATTAAACTTTTTCATAAATAATTTGGTACAACAGAACCCAGGAAGAAAATTATTGGTCTATATGATAAATTTTACAGATTATTCCTACTCATGCCTAAAGTAGTAAACCCCTAAAATATAATTAGCTTATATATGATCTTAATTTGACTCAGTTCTGGGTTTACCCCTTTTGCATTTTGAATGTAAATTGTAATGGAATTGAGTGCTTATAGTTCCACACCTGCACAATCATTAAGATTCATGAGACTTATTTCTTCTAAGTTGAACTTGACATGTTTTCTCTTGAATTGTACGAAGATCAAAGGAATATAAATTACATTATTGGTGGCCATGTATTTATTAAGTTCAAGCTTTTGTTTATGATATATATATATTTGTTAATTTCATTTATTGCCTTCCTTTCAGATGTGAAGACGACAAACCCTTCATGTCAATCTACCAAGTTTCCAAGGAAAAGGCAAAGACATTGGGAATTGAATTTATTCCATTTGAAGTGGGACTTAGAGAGATAGTGGAAAGCCTCAAAGAAAAGAAATTTGTCAGCTTTTAAATTCTATTGTAATATATTTCAAGTCCAAATATCTTTCAAACATTTAGGTTGTATTTGGTATGAAGTATTGAGAATAAGAGTTAAGGATTGAGATTGTGAATGAGAGTTAAGAAATGAGATTGGGATGGAAAAAACTCATTGAAAGAATATTTAATATGAAGCAGTGTTTGTTAATCAGGATTAGGTAGAATTTATGTAGGTGAGATTGTAAAATACCATATAGAGATGTAGTATTAATTCTTCAATCTCTCCTATATGGGTTTACTAGATCCCAAGCACTCCTCTGGTCTTATTTATAGGGTAAAGAGAGAAGTTTTTTTTGTCCTATTTATAGGTCATTTCATTAAATTTTTACCATAAATATACTTTATTGTCCTTCATTTATTATAGTATAGATATTTTTTTTTAAAATGTGTATATATTAAATAGAGGTAAAGTTGGAAAGTTACCATATTTTAATGAAGAGTTAATCCAGTTTAAGATTTTCTTTGGTCTGTGTGAAACATGTTGGAAGTGCCTTATAAATAGGACCAGAAGAGTAAATAACAAGTAATTACTGAATATTTTTTAATAGATAAATAGATTAATACTCTTCTGGTCTTATTTGCAAGTCACTTCCAATATGTTTCATACAGATCAAGAAAAACCTTAAATTTCATCAACGCTCATTTAAAATTCAATAACTTTTTAACTTTATCCCTATTTAACATATGTTATATCTCATGCAAACAAAGTCAACATAATAATAAATGAAGGGTGCAATTGTACATTCATGCAAAAAATTTCTCTCAGTACCTTATAAATACGATCAAAAAAATCTTCTCTCTTTGTCCTATAAATAGTACTAGAGGAGTATCTTATATTTGAAACAAGAGATAGTATATTGCATGGTTAAGTGAATCAAAAACACCATGGAGCAAGTTGCAATTAAGTAAGGACGCAAGAGCTGGAACCGGGTAAGCTGAGTTTGGATACTTATTAGAGTTAGGGGCAATATAAATTCAAACAACAATTATAAAAATGCTTACAAATCATTCGCCAATAACGTGTTTTTACATTGACAATCGGATTTAAACCCAAAGTCTTTCTAATTCTTAAAAACGAAACTAATTTTTATTGTCTAGTGTGAGTTAATTATTTTTCTTGTCATGACTTAACTAAGGTAACTACAATTTACTTCTCAGGTTTTATTTATAAGATAGAGAAAGAAAACATTTTTCATTCTAAACCTTAATAAAAATTGAAAAAATTGTCTATCATTAAACAGAATTGCAAATTAAAAATATAAGGATTAGAGTGGTACATATAAAAACAAAATCAATACAATAATAAATAAAGTACAAAACTTCATATTCATATGAATTTTTTTCCTTTTTGCCCTATAAACATAACCAAAAATTTCTTCTTTCTACCTAATAAATAAGACCAGAAGAGTTTATGCGTGTGTATGTATATATTTCCACATGCGCAATAATAAGATAGAGTAAAAAAACTGGTTAAAGCCATTCCCGAGTTGCACTTTCATCAATTTCAGGTGTGTTTGGATTAGCAGTGGGCGAAAGTGACTTTTATTTCACCTGACTTTTGTAAACTTGAGTTATAATAAAAATCAGTTAGTGTAATATGATTTGTGTTTCGACTGACTTTTGTAAAAATGAGTTTGATAAATTAAAACTTGTTTTTGGATAAGTAGTGAAAAAGTTACTTCAGATGAAAAATGATTGAAAAATATATCTTTTTTCTACAAACTAATTTGACTAACTTATAAATTGATTTGTAATCTAATGACATATATAATTTTTTTTTTGACCAGTGACATGTATAAATATTTAGAGAGATCAAAATATATAGAATATAATTAAACAATTTAGGGAAAATTAATATGCTGGTCCTCATAGTATAGTCAAATTTTGAATCAGGTCCCCCAATTTATTTTTCTTTTTTTTTTTTGATCCTTTTGCTTCACTATCTTCAAGATACAAGTCCTTCCGTTAATAAGTTTCAGACACCGTTAATATAGAGGATGCATGATGAGGCAACAAATCATAGCTTTATCTTCGAATTCACCATGACCAATTCGAAGACACTAGGAAGTAGTAGGAGGGCTCCTTCTTCAACTGGGTCTACTTCTTCATCAACATCGGCACTCTCATCTGTGCTTTTTTGAATCTAGGACAATTTCAGGTGAGGATTGGGGTTCGACATTCCGACTGCGGCGATGACCATCGTTGGTTTGCTTCTTTTTGGTCGGGCTTTGGACTGAGGCTGATAGAGTTTGCTGATGGATCCATAAAGTCAACTATATTTGTATTTGCTTGTTTAACTCGACCATATTTCTTGTATTTTCTTGTTTGCTTTTTGTTTGTGTAATATTGATTCACACTTTAACAGGAAAAACAGAAATCTTCTTGTTAGAACATGAAATTTGCCCTCCTAGAAAATTTTCACTTTCATAATTAGTTTGGGTGTGGTTTCTAGTTATTATGTGCTTTGATTCTAGCGGTTTTGCATCTTTCATATGATGCACTTTTTTGTTTTATGCTACGGGTAGGAGGAAGAGATGAAATTGAGGCATAGATGGAGAGAAGCACGAAGAAAAGGACAGAAGGGAGAGATGAAAGAGAAAGGAAAGCACGAATACCATGGAAAGACACAGAAAAGAATGAAAGAGAAGAATGGGGAGAGAGAGAGGGTGATGCACTTCTATTGCGGGGAAAGAGAGAACGTGAGTGGAGGAAAGATTTGTCCACATGTGAAGCATCATTAATGCCTTTTCAGCACGAATTAACGGCGTTAAGAGCAAATATCAACAGAAGGACTGATGTCTTGAAAATAGTAAAGCATAAGGATCTAATTAAAAAAAAAAATTGAGGGACTGATTCAAAATCTAACGATATTATAATAAGGACCGGCAAATTAATTCTCCCAATAATTTATTTAGCTTGTTGCAAATTAGTTCATTCAACCTTCTATTAATAACCGGAAGTAATATATTATATATATAATTTGATAAATTTAAGAAAACCAATATATTAAAATAATTATATTTTATTAGTTAATTGTTTTCTTCCTATAATATTTTTTTGTAAACATCAAATTGTTACTAAAAAAAATCAAATTATTGAGTCAAGGTGGGATTCACCTAAATACCCTTATTTTTCTTTTCATTCTCATTTTTTATTCCCTCTCCATTTTGCTAACCGAGCATCTTTTCCTAAAAGCACCCGAGAACTGCATTTCACCGCACCCAACCTTTTTTTGTTTTTTTTTTAAGTTGATTGAATAAAAAATCCACTTAAACAACCCAAAAATTCCAAATCACCGACGAATAGACCTTATGTTATAAATCAATGCCGTGAGTTTTGGTTTTTTTTTTTGTTTGTTGCCATCGATAAATGTCGTGATATAGAGTATTTAATTGTAATTACTTAGCGGTGGGTGGTAACTCGTAACTCGTAACTCGTAACTCGTAACCGGTAACCCAACCACCACACTAAAATGCACATTCTCGCTGGCCTTGCAAAATGCACATCATTAATTTTAAAGGGCAGCTAGCGTGCAGAATATCCACATCACTTCGCGCCAATGGCGGATCGTAGCGCTTAATTTTAAAGGGCTAGGAATTGAAAAGCGTATTTAGCATCTTTTTTCCCTTTTATCTTTAATTAATTACTCCCTCCGTTCCTTATTATAAGAGACATTTGATGCTTATGGCATGTTTCAATATATAAGAGACACTTAAAAGTTGTCTCTATTTTTTTGTATTAATTTCCTATTTTACCCCTATTTATTTTGTATCCAACTCATACTTTCTCTCCTTCTCACTTCTCTTTCTTTTAATAATTTAATTGTTCTCTCTCATACTCTCTCTCCTTATTAATGGGGGCATTGTTGGAAAAAACATCATACTTTTTACACATTAATTGTCCTTAACTAATTTTAACTGTTTTTTTGATCAACGTAATTTGGTTATTTGTCTCTTATAATAAGGAACGGAGGGAGTATATGTTTTTCTCATTTCCTTTTTTTTAATTCTCTCTCATTTTTTCAGTTATTCTCTCTCCCATTGACACTCTTCATAACTGAAATATTATGAAAAAAATAAGTTATGCCGATTAATATTATTTATAAATCACTTTCAATATGTTTTATATAAATCCAAAAAAAACAATAAATATCATTAACTCTATATTAAAATCCAGCTTTAGCCATATTTAATACTCCTTCTTGTTTTCACTATGAAGCATTTTTAACTAATTCTCATGTACCAAGTAATGACAGTTAAATCATTAAATTTGTCCGAAATTAGTTTTTTTTTTTCAAGTTTACCCTCAAATCAAATGATGTAGACAGAGAAATACAAAGTTCCATGAGCTTTTTGACACCAGACCTTAATTAATAACAATGATAAATTTGAAAAAAATAGTTTATTATTGAAAAAATTACAAATTAAAAACGTAAAAGTAGACCTTGGAGATGGAACCAAAGTCGATTAAAATTTGGACCATGCATATCAAATTCTAGATGGTTCGGATTCCATTGCAGCAATGGGCACGGTGATCGATGAGTATTAAATGAGAATGCTGGACACACATGCAATATAAATGGGACAACATATATAATAATAATGCAACGACTACCAAGTGGTGCGAATGGAGGCCAGCCTTTGATAGTATATTCTACTGATTCTGATGTGCATATATAATAATATATGAGAACCGGCCTGCGCACACACACTCACACACACACACACAGAGAATGGAGAAAGGAACGCAGGAGAAGAATGGAAAGTTGGTGTGCGTCACTGGTGCTTCTGGTTTTCTGGCTTCATGGCTCGTCAAGCTTCTTCTTCTTCGTGGTTACATTGTCAAGGCCACTGTTCGTGACCCAAGTGAGTTCTGTTCCTCAATATGATCATTCCCTTTATTATTTTATTTTTTGGTCTGAAACATCGCCCAGCAAAAACTATCACAGATATTGCCGCGAGTATATATTAGTCCTTAGATTGATCTGAATTTCACCATAAAGGCACATTATTGAAACAGTTTTTGCCCTTTTAAACGCTGAGAATGACACACAATTAAGGAGCCTTCGGCCAGAAATTCACTTAAAAAATGAAGGGTTCTCTGTAAGGAAGCTGGTCTAAACCAGGAAGTGGAAGGGGTGAGATCGATGATTGATTGTTGAACAGGTGAAAGAGACAGTCTAATTAAGGAAGAAGAGTTTGATCAGAGTGA